GGAAGGATTCCCCATGATGCGTTTGTCTTATTGCTCTCTCCGTCTTGTCATCAAAGAGGACACACCTTCCTTCCCTGTCCACCTTTACTTTGTCTCCATCAAATCCCTTCAAATTCTCTTTTCCTCTAATTGTGATTGGAGGCTGAGAGGGATCGACTGGAAGTGCAGTTGCTTTGTTGTACATGGAATATTTCAGCCGGCAAAGAATAACTGTTTCATCCCCACTCTGTTCGTCTTCCATCATCCAGTCAATTCTTCCTTCTGGCTTTTGCACGAGTTTGCATCCAGTTTTGTATTCTCTCCTTTGGTTCAGCTTTTCCATGTACTGTTTGATAATCTTGTCCGCTTCGCGTGTTAAAGGGACAGCAGTGGCCTCGTCAATGACACTGTGTGGAAGCAAACTGTTCTGGAGCTTTTTCGCGGCGAGTTCTACTTCTGCTTTTCGGTTTAATTGGTTAGGAATTGAAAACTGCAGAGTCTCGCACTGGACACATCTCTGTAGATATGCCTTCCAGGACCTGCTATCTCCAATTTCACACAGAGTAAAAGGGTTACCGACACAGTAGATGAGTGAGCGAGCCCTCGTCATGATGGTGTTGAACACCAGCTCATTGCTCATGGTCCTGACTGGGTCAAATGGCTCACCGTTTTCTTTCGTGGGCTCAATAGTGCTGATGAAAACAGCATCAAATTCCATACCTATTCAGGGGGGAATGTTTAATTGGCAGCAAAATTACTTTAGAGTGTCACACACCTTGAATGCGGTAAGTTGGTATGACTGTAACCTCACACGGTTTGTCACGATTCAACCCTTTCTCTGTCACCTCTTTCTTTGAGTAACTCAACCTGTGAAGTTGATTTGAAGTAAAAGTTACTGGAGAGTGTACAGATAATTATAGCTACCCACCTGTTTTCTTGCTGAAGCCGACACCACCACTTTCTGTTTTGGATGATTTCTTGGCCATTGGCTGACGAAAACTCTCCAACTTTTCCACGAGCACCCTCGCCTCATGCCTATCCTCAGCTGGGAGATTCTTGGAGTTCTTGTCGATGCTGGTACAGGTGAAGACCTGTGGGTAGGGAGCCAGTGGGTGTGTCTCACTGGCGCTCCGACTGAGGAGAGTGTGCTGGTAGAAGAGGCTTGAGGTGAAGGCCAGGATACTGGAGTGGCAGCGGTAGTTGGTGAGAAGGGACGCTGTGTGATTATTAATTCCGCCCCCACTCCTTTTGGATTTGTACAAGTTGAAGAGACGCTCCAGCAGAGATACGCCCAATTCATACTCTTGTGCCAGCTCACTCAGGACTGCCACTTTGGGACCACTCTGAAAAATATCAATACTTATGACACCATTAAACTTCTATAGATTGATAATAACAGACCTGTTTATGGTCTCCAACAATTACGACTTTGGTTTCTTCCTTGACTACTGCCAGTGCACCAAGTGACTCCGCCTCTCTGGCCTGGGCTCCCTCATCAATCAGGATGTGGGAGAAGTGCAGTTGTTGATGCTCTGTCTCCTTTTTCTTTAGGTTGGTTGCCGTGAGGAATGTCGTTACAATCACTTTTTTCTTAAGCAGAACATTGATGCCGGTGTAGCGTTGCAAATATACTCCAAGTTCTTCGTTTGTACTTTGTCTGCTTGCTGATAAATCATAAGTAGCAACCTTTGCAGCCTGCTGATTTGGCACTAAACGCATTATGCAGTGGCGATAATTTTTGAAGAGAATTTTGTATAGGCTATTGGCACACTGATGCTGATAGGTACAGACCAGTATACGGGACTTTGGGTCACATAGCAATGCAGAAACTGCAGCAGCTAGGATTCGGGTTTTCCCTGTGCCAAATGGACCAATAACTAAAAATGGAACTCTGGGATCTGAGGATATCATTCTCCGTAGTGCATTTATTTGATATTCCTTATCCAATGTGAACTCCTTTATTGCAGCTTTTTCTGCTGGAGTTAAATATTTTCCGCTTGTACCTTGTTTCAACAAAATTTCATTTGGAAAGAGCTTGCTCACTGCATATTGGTTAAGATAGTCTACGGCACTATGCAGCCCATCAAAGTACATGTGATTTATTTCAAAGTGCACATACACAGGATTTCTTGGCAACGGAGGCATTTTTACATTTGGTAAATGCAATAGGAGTGCATCTTCTACGGCATCTCTTTGAAAAACATTGCATTCAATTTCAGATTGGCCCAGTGGAATGTGCACTACAGCATGACCATGGACAGCGTAATCCATGGCAGCTCCTTCCATTCCACACAACTTGAGCATTAACACCTCTTTATGATTCCAACGTTCATACCACTTGTGCTGCTTTACTGTGACCATGCCATTGCACCTACATGTGTGTTTACACAGCATTATGATTTTACGTTACATGTGTCATGCATTTCAACGAAAGACACAAACAGTGTCTAAAGTAAATACAGTGGGTCCCTCTTAATATCATACCGTTTAATAAAATATCCCGTTTATTATCATGCAAACCTGAATTCCAAAACTATTTCCTATGCTTTCCCATACAGTTTTATAGAATACGGGATAATGTCATAGAAAAATTTGGTTTTTGCCAGGTATTGTCATTACGTATTGCGCATGTGTAATTAGGCATTCTACAACCCTAGGCTGGAGTTTGGTAACTCTCCATTCTCCACCTGGCTTCCAACATTAGCTTATGTAAACAGCTACCAAGCCTAGCTTGATTAGTTTAGCTAAACAAACTTCATTGTGCTCTATCTGGGTCACAGTACACCCAAATTGTAGAATATCCCCCGCATAATATTTTTTGACGCACTGTGGACCCACTTTAATAATAGAGCAGTCTGAAACTCACAGAGTTGCCATTGTTTGGCAGTGTGCTATCTCATCCAGGCATATAAGGTGATGAAACTTGTTGACATAATTCTCAGCAGAGAGCTTTTGGTCAATACCGACCTGAGTAGCACTCAACCAGACCTCATTGGGCGTGTAACTGTACCTCTCTCTGAGGGCACTGTAATTGGGAACCTACATAGGGTGGAATTGATAACTTTTAGCAGGATACATCCAACAAATGGTGTATATACCTTTTCAAGTACTTTGTGAATCAAACTCCACTTCCAGTATTCCAGTTCCTCCATGGTGTGGGCATTCTTGCAGTTGACTTCATCAGGACAGCCTCTTGGCTGCTTCATCTTCTCACAGAGACTGAGCTCATGGGGGGAGCACCCTGATAGGCTGCACGGGAGCTCCAAAACTTCGACCACTTTGTGATCGTCTCCAACTATGAGCGTTACCCCCATTTCGCCCTCGTGCTCTGGGTGTTTGGCACACTCCAGCCAGGTGAGCCAGCGTGTGTTGTAGAACGGAGAGGCACCGCCGTAGCACTTGACACAGACATCTGTCGGGGACTGGGGGACAAGTCTGGCACGTTGTAGTAACCTTTTCAGTGTGTTTTCTGAGGGAGAGAGCACACGTCCATGATAGCTTACTCAGGATGGACCACTTCACTTACAACATACCTTTGAAAACTGTTCGTATGAAGTCCCATGTGTGATACTCCACGTCTGAATGGGGACAGAGGCATGAACCCCTTTTCGGGCAATATTCCCATGCGTGCCAAGGTGGGATGGGTGCATCTATCTCTCAATATTTGCTGGAGGATGTCTCATCTGGACCAGTCTCATTGCACTTGGCTCAATTGAAGCAAGTGACCACCCATACTGGTGGCGATGTTGGTGTGGTTTGAAACATCTCAGCTTGATGAGCCACACAGCATGAGGGTTTTCCCGCAGACACTGAGAGCACACCCAGTGCTCCCATGGCACCACCACCCCCATCTCTCCTCCCTGTCAGGGATAGGGAAGAGTATATGAATAAGTACCGAAGTAAAGTCTTACTACAATTTATAACAGTTTAAAGTCAATGACATATAGATGTATTTGAGGCCCTTCAGCGGGCCTTTTCTAGTAAGCATTCCCATGCAGTGAATATACTCTCTATGGTGAGCCACTAGCCAATGACATACCCAAGAATTACTGTATACACTGGTATTTCTGAGGCAACTAGCAGCTACTAGATAGTAGCAATAGTATCCGACAACTACAGAATAAAGGCCGAAGAACCGGTCTTCCACTGTAGACACTACCACAATTGTGGAAAACGGTTATCAGATCTGCTGTTTTATAGAGCCTGGGCTACACAGGAAACCACTGAGAAATTCACCTGTGTACATATTATAGCGATATAATAGAAATCATGTTTCTATTCACAGACTGGGAATTACGTAATTTAACAAATAACAACAGCTATTTATATAACCTCCAGGTATAGCAGCAGCTCTAAGAAAATTACGTAAGGGAATGAAATGAATAGCAAGGAATTTGGGGAATAGGCCGTATTATTAATCTTCCGGAATAAATTCACCTTTGACTGACCACATCCTGCAAACGTACTCTGTTCATGCAACTAGCTAGTTGTGCACAGGTGTATAAGATAGCACAAAGTTACCTAGTACTGTGCCTTAAACTTTAGAAATGCCATATAGCGGGATATTTTCGCTGGTGCAAAATTTCGCGAAATCGCTTCTGGGGCATCCAGAAGAAATTTTCGTGGTTTTTATTTTCGCGCTTACGAACCGCGCGCGCCCATCGTATTATTTACTATTATTATTATTATTATTACATGCCAGGCCCCGCGTCACGTCGATGTCAACTTCGCCCGATCGTTTTTTGTGACTTATTTCCGCCAAGTACTTTGTCTTCCGGGTACGTATCGTGCTCTCCTTCAAGTTCGCGTGTAACTCCTTCGAGAAACGACGCTTTGCAGCCGCGATTCCGTGCATCAATGCGTACTGCGCAATCTTTGCTTGTTGTTGCGGCGTAAACTTTGAGTAGGTTCCCCTCTTCGCTGGCTGCTTCGTTGCGACGCTCCGGACGGCGCTTCTACTATAGTGGAGGAGGTTATTTCTTTGATAGCGGTCCTCTGGGGTCTGAAGGGAGTCTGCTGCAGGCTGGAAGTAACGGTATACAGGGGCGTAGGCAAGATTTCAGAAATGAGGGGGCAAAAAGCGAAAAAGCGCGCATGAAGCGCGTGCGAAAATGTTTATACCAGAAGCCGCTCATGTAATTTTTGCACAGGAAGACGGAAGTAAAAAGGAGACGAGCGCGCGGCGCTTATGTAGTATGCATTATTGGCTAGGCTCAGCAGTCAATCAGTTGGCATGCGTTCCTATCGCGCGATTTTCGCGAGACGCCTGAAGGCGTAAAGCGGTCTCGTTGCCGTCACTCCAACTGTCTTTGCTGACTCCAGGGAGTAACGTAAGCTAGTCTTGCGTAGGCACTCAGAGAAAAGCGTTTACTTGGAAAAAAAGGGGGGGCAATTGTGGCCCTGGCTGGCTACACCCCTGGTATAGAACCATTTTCCCGGTTCGTGCGCGATTTCACGCAGCTAGATCCACCCCTGCCTGCGCGCATGCGCATTTGTAGTATCTACGCACAAACTACCGCGAAATTTTGCGCCGTGCGAAAATTTCCCGCTACACGGTAATCATCATTTTGCAAGTACCATGCATACCTACCAGCCTGCAGATAAAGCTTTGCTTGAAGAATGTGTCCAATTTGCTTGAAAATGCTGTGTGTCCATCCAAAATGTATGGGCATGATGCATCACAGGTTAGAACCAAAAAAGAGGGATTTTGTGATTTTCTGGTGGGATAGGCAGTATTTTTGCTCGATTATCAAGCTGAAAGCTGGATGGTTGGTAGGTATGACCATGGGGCGTCAAAGCAAGGCAGTTAAGTGTATAGCTAGCAAGCAACACCCATGACAACAAGAGCCAAATAATATAAGATAGAACAAAGTTGCCTTGTACTGTGCCCTAACTTTAGAAATAATCATCCTTTTGCAAGTACCATGGGGTGTCAAAGCAAGGCAGTTAAGTGTATAGCTAGCAAACAACACCCATGACAATAAGAGTGGGGTACAAATAACGAACAAATCATCATATGAATCACAGGGGAACCCAAGGCAAGTGTATACATATCACAACACTGAGGATAACAAGTTAACAATAGGCACACACATGGTACATCACCTCTTGCATGAGGTTACTAACTGCACTAGTAGATGATTAGAGCTATCATCATAATTTTATTCTTCACAAACAAGTAGAACAGGAAATGAACGAGAGGTTTCACATGTCATAGTGTGAAGTGTGACAAGCTTCATGCTTTTGGAGGAGTTGAATACCGGTGTTGTATGTAGCCACAAACATACATAACTGTTAAAAGTCAGTGAGGCATGAGTGGCAAGGTAGTCACATAAATCCACTCTTTCATACCTCTACTAGGGATTCCGCTGTCACCTATTCTTCCAGGTACTATGAATGGTTTGAGCAGACTTCACAAGTAGTGGTGACTGGAGGTGTTTCTTAACCAGCTGGCAATAGTACTGGTGATAAGAGCTGGACACTCTACCACAGAAGACACTGTCTCTCTAGACCGCGGCGGCAGATTCAAATTGACCAATCAGATGGCGTATTCTATTATCCAAGTGCGTGTTTCCACGGAGACGCCCGCCAAAAATGGCGTCTTCGATGGGGGCGTGGCAAGCTTCCGCGTAGAGAAACTCGCTCTGTCACAGAGAACTCGCCGCGACGACTTCAAGCTCGCTGTATCCGGTGCTTCTTGGATGAATGCTCTCTCAACGATGCAAAAAGAAACTAAAATATGCCATGTGATATGCCAATGCTGCAAGTACCCAGCACAACTCCTTATTAATAAGATGCCTTGAGTGGGATCAAACTGACAAAACTCTGCAGTTCGGAGCTTCGCTCTATATATCCACCAGCTATCACCATGTCCACACTTGACAATGCTCACTGTGCAAGGTCTTGGTGAAATAACTGTTGAGGAGTTGATATGTGAATACAGGTGTTGCAGAGCACCATTGTTACAACATATTCACTCAAAATTAATCACTACTCCCCACAAGCTATATATGATGCAAGTACATTAGTGCCTCACATTAAGCTCCTATGCAAGGAGCTCCATGTGTGACATGAATACATCACCATTTGTACTCTACTCTATGGAAGAGGCACATTAATGATAGCACTACTTTTTCCTACCTATCCTTGTGGCTTGTTTCTCTACTCTAACCTATTTTGGTAATGATACAGATGAATCCTAGATATTCTCCAAATATCTGTGAATACTTGGGAGCCTGATATACTTCACAGGAGTCCAAGCAGGAGGTCATTGACTAACACCAACACTGTCTATAGTACTTGGAAGGCTCTGATTCCCAAGAGCCAGCACTATACTACAGCGAAGACAATCAGCTCTCTCTTTTATGCTCTTAGTGGGAAAAGCTGCTGTTACCTGTAGGGTATGAATCTATTTATAGCCAATGAATGCCGTAGTTTCTAGGGACTGTATATACCATTGAGCCTGTGCACATGATGCATAGAGAAATAACGAACATGTGTTCGCTGTAGCTGTAGTACTTGGCTGTACATTAGGAAAAGATGACAGCCCTATATTATAGCTACCTAATCAAATTGGGGACTTAACCTCTTGGATGGGAATTAAGCGTTGTATTTGGCATGAGGTTGTGTATACATACTTGCAACAGAACACTAAATAGCCAGGGGATTTACCTCCATGGGCCATTACAGGGTCTCAATAGTCAGTATTATTAGTTACAGGGCTGTCCTCTATCCAAACCCATTATTAAAAGGAACATGTCAACTGAATGAACTTACCACTGCTCTGCACACTCTCAGTCATCACAGATATTAAAATAACACTCCTTGTGAATTATATCTAGGTTCCTCAGTTGGCCTAGACCACACAGGTTATATAATACTCTGGCTCAACGTGCCCTCTAGCTGACCACTGATGGCCCTTGATTGTACACTACAGGAGAAGTCACTCTGTGTGAGTACTTTGTGCCTGTCACACATGCTGAGAAACAGTAGAAACTAGTCGCAAACTATAGGTGCAGCCTGCGCTGCTGCCTGCTATGAGTGATGTTCCTAGCCTCTTGCATTAGTCATGGCTCTCATTGATGAGGTGATATACAGGAACATCACTAGGGGACTTACCTCCTGGTTTGCCAGGGTTGTAGAGTGGACACTGCCCAACTGAGAAGGGTGTCTGAGTAATGCCCTTGCACATTGATGCAGGAGAAGATGACGCCAGTAGTGCCCACAATTGTGAACGTGATTTGATTAATACGAGCCCCTCAGCAAGTCACAGTGGATGTGACAGGCATGTCGCCACTACCAATGACTCCTGTGGTGGCCTTATATTATTTCCAAGGTCCAATCCACCATGTCAGCATTTTGAATTACTGGTGAGTGGGGAAGCGTCTAGGCTAACCACAACCATCTTGGATGATGGGTTACGACATGCCAATGGCAAAAACTTGTGTGTGGTGATTAGTTCAAAACCACAAGTCCTCTGCTATGGGTATATACCTGTTAGCATGTACATTCCTGTGGCAGTGGGGATGAATCTGTGATTCGTTCACAGTTCAGAACCACAAGTGTAGGAACTTCTTTTAAACAGGGAATGGGGTTAGCTATCTGTCATTAGAGACACCCCAAGGACAGTTCCCTTCTAACCCATGACACTCTGTTTTGTAGACAAGTCCTCTATGACTGAGCTACCAGCGCAGTTTAACAAGCTGGGTCCAAAGCAAGGCAAAGGCAAACCCTAAACTTTGTGCTATGGTGCAGAAATTAATTAATAACTTAATTATGTAGGAGCAGGCTGGGGTAATAAAACCACTAAGATGCACCAGTAGAATGCACAACTACTTTCTTGTTTACATTGGCCGACCGATTGTTTACATTCCTTCGAAATCCCAATTCGAAAACACATCGATTGTGTTTTGTTCAACTTAGTGTAGTGGGAAATGTTTACAAGAGATTTTCTGCTATAATATATCCCTTACTATTTCACTCGTTTGATGTTCTCTGGGGAAATATGCTGGATGCTCATAAGTGTATGACAGTGTGTTTAACACATAAAAGAAGGTAAAAATTGCCACGGCTGTTTAAAAACATGTGACAGTAATGTGATAAACATGTCTACTAATTTTTATCTCCATGCAATCGATTAAGGAGTGAAGAAGTAATTAAAAGTGCCTGAGGCTATTTTGCTGTCATGTGTGGTCGTCATGTAATATGCATTCGTACCAAGTTTCTTCTCCATGGGTGCTACTGGTAGCAAATTTTGAGAAGCAATTTTACCTGATGTATATAGTCGTCATTGAAATGATGTATTATGCATGTGTACCAAGTTTATCTCTATGCATTCTACTGTTAGTTAAATTGAGTAGTGAAAAACGAAAAGTGCCTGAAGCTATTTTTTTTATTTACAAACATGTGGTCGTCATGGAAATGATATAATACGCTTGCGTACCAAGGATCATCTCAATGAGTGCTACCGTTAGCAAGTTTGAGGAATGAAAAAGTAATTAAGTGCTGTTCACAAACATGTGGTCGTTATGGAAATGATAATTATAATACACTAATACATTGTGTACCAAGTTTCATCTCATGGATGCTACCGTTAGTAATTGTAAAGAAAAGTGTCTAAGGCCACTTGTTGTCGAGACCCAATCTACCAGTTTCAGCTTGTAGTGATTTTGTCCTACAAGCGTAGGGGAAGAGCTAAAGCTTGGATGATGGATCAGCAAATGCCAGGTGGCAAAGTCTTTGTGGGGATGAAACCAATGGCGCGCAAGTTAGGCTAGCTTATTCTGGCACTACAGGCCAAGAGGCAGCCTATAAATTATACCAACAGCTTCACTAAGAGCTACCAGTACGTAAAGTAAAAAATACTATTTTCCTTAAACAACTGTATTTATTAGATATGCTCGTACGACTGCCATACCCGAAAATAATATTTTTTAATTAGTGCTGGTCAGCTACTTACTTTAGCTTTAGAACCATGCTGTGAAGCAATGTGTTTGCCTCTTGGAATGATTTCAACCTTGGTGTAAATAATAATATAAGATGATAGCCATAATTTAAACCTTCACTTACTTCAGAACCATGCTGTGAAGCAATGTGTTTGCCTCTTGGGATGATTTCAACCTTGGTGTAAACAATAATATAAGATGATAGCCATAATTTAAACCTTCATGATAATATATATGAAATCACAAGCTGCTGGAAAGTTATCGATCTTCCTTCTTTAGGACCAGTAACTAAGCTTCACTAACCTTCATTTTATTTACTTTTTCTGCTTCACCTTTCTCTTTATTAACCTGTGGAAATGCAAACTACCTTCAGTCTTTAATAGGACAATGTCCCTATTATGAGTACTTCCAATAGCAGCACCTAACTATGATATATACACTGTGCCAATGTTGACTCATAAATCATAGAGAGCACGTGCAAAGCAAACCACACATGAACATTATTTTTACATCAAGTCTGTGTGAACTGACTGCAGTGCAGGCATTCATTATTATGACAAGCCTAGGATCTGGGGGCCTTCACCCCTTCTTTCAAACATCTGGAGCCACTATACTTATCTCTTAATATGTACTTTAAGCACTTTGTGTGTGCAAAGCTTGTTCAGGGTTCATTATCTAATTACCCTTTGCTTTTCACAATGAAAAGCACTAAAGTGCAAACCCTCGGCGGTAAACTAGCGAGTTGTAGCATCGCTGTATGCTGGGCCGTGTGTCATCGACGGAGTAGGCCTAAGCCAATTATGCTAAGAAACACACCAATTATTTAATTAGGTTAATCTAATGTAAATTGCCCATTATTTCAGCATTCACATCCTATTATTCGTATTTTTAATGGAAATTATACTGCATCATATTCATCTTTTTAACGGCAATTATATTGGCTCCACGTCCACGAGATCGACGCTTTCCCGTAGGCGGAGGGTTTCTATGGACCGCCCTCTTTCTCGCCAGGTCTGATGGCCTGGGAGCACGCAAGTGAGGCAAAAGTAAAGAAGGTTCTGAGAATGAGTCGCCACTGCCAGAACAGACGCTCGCTATATCAGCAGCGGGTGTAACAGAGCTCGCAGATAGAGACGCGGACGACGAGGAGAGTGTCGAGGGATCCGGATACTCCATTTCTGTATACACGGTTTATGGCGGGCTTGGGTACACCCGATACCAGGTGCACCGGTGTTCATGCACTAAGCATATGCGCATGCGTAGATTGGACCGAAAATCCCCTAAAATTCGCGAATTATGCGAATCCTGGGAAGTTCCTATTATTCCAAGGATTATGCTAGCATAATTGGCGCAGGCCTACGACGGAGCCAGTAACACGAGTCCCACCGTAACACAGGGTAGTTGCATTAGCGGTTAGAGCAATAGCTCAGGTGTTTCAGAGGCTCTCATATTTGCTTTATTCAATCTATCTGCTCTTCTGTGTTTCAATGCTCTCGCCAGACATTGTATAGATGAGAAGGCAAGGCCGCAACCACAAACTGCTCGCCACCTGAACTATTATGCTACATTGCGAACATACCTTGCTCATCATGTTTATCGTTTATCCATAGGGAACAGAGATCAAAACTGAGTGGATCGTATATACAACCAACGTGGCGTAGCGCATGCTCCGGCGATTAATTGACATGACGCGTGCGCGCTATATAGCTAATAGCTAGAGGGCGATCGACCGCGCGTTGGCTTTTTCGCTTGTTTTCACGCCATATCTCTGGAACGCAGTCGTTTCGGGGAAATCGCCACGTTAATATCAATCTTCTCGTCGTTCACAACCCGTTGGTGCCACTCATTGGCCGCCT